ATTGAAAACCAACTGACTCTCTTCGGCCACTTTCCATATTCGCACGCTACGATCCTGTGCACCACACGTCAGAACACGTTCCCTATAAAAACAACATTCCTTCTCTCTATTGCATACTTCCTTCCATCCTGGATATAGAAATTTCCATATCCAGCTTGCTTTGTGCTAATCGCAAGCAAAATCTTTTCCGAAACGCAACTCAAACTATCTGTTAATGATGCTTCACATCTCCTCAAAAAAAACAACTAAGCTGTCAAAACCTTTCGGCAGAAAGTCCGAAAAACTGCATTGGGCTAGCCAGTAACATCGATGAGCGGCGATATCATATCTCGATGAATTCAAAATACTGATGCATTAAAATCAAGTTGAAGATCAAACCTTCCTAAGATGTCAATACCCATCACAGCATCCACATGTCCAAACATCGTATCTACGTATCCCATCTGATCCAGATCCCATGCTTTCACACTTCGGTCTCGTGAACAACTGAACAACTGTTGTGTGCCCAAACGAAATGTCAGTCCTTAAGAATAGTTTCTTAATCAACCAAATCTTCAATGAATTAACCGAATCTTTTTCTTTCAATCCGTTTCTCAATATTTTCTCAGCATTTCAATATTTTTCCCAATTCGTTAATAGTAATCAACGAAAAATAAAGCATACTATCAATGATAACAATAACGATTTGATGAGATGATTCAAATTTGCAAACAAACACAACACAACAAGGCACTACTCCTCACCAGTAATTGCGTTTTTATGTCCGGTCAATTCCTTGACTAAATCCAAACTGACAAAATTCCAAACTCTTATTACGGCATCCTGTCCACCACTGACCAAAAATCGATCTTGTGCTGAGATGGCCAATGCCAAAATATGACCTTTATGACAGTTTCGTCCACCCGTTTTCTTGTCATATTTCAATTGACCGACTTTTTTGCCCTCTTCGATGTCATCTGTAGAATTTTCCCAAGTTGCGACGTTTGAAAACAATTTTCGATTCTACGAAAACAATTGCGATTTCTCAATCGAAATTTTTACATGAATAAAATTTCTCCAAAATGATAAATGAATCAAAAAAAAATCAGAATAAATTTGTTCTCAAACAAACAAGCAAATGAACGAACATTTCACAATGGTCGCGTCTTTCGAGCAACTGCAAATGTATCGTGCATCGTGTGATATCGCTACGGCCACTGTTGAAAATCTGCAACTTCAATTCAGACAATCCATCTAAATTCACAACACTCCGCACTCGCAATCCTCCCAAGTCCAGCTGCTCCATCCAACTTTAACTGGACTTAAGACTGCGCTAATAAAACATCACTGATTACCTTGCGTCCTATCTTGGTTCTCTATGAGATCGCAAGTCTAGCGAGTGCCACGTTTCTCTATGTTTTGCAAATCTTCTGGAGAAAATATTACTGATACAATACACGTACAAATATCATTATTTTTACCTATGTGCTCTGTACTGAACCACTGAATCAGATAATTTTGCAGTTTGGGCAATCTTTCGATGCAGAGTGACAACATGCGATAAGGCCTCTTCGTGTAGTCTATGAGCCACTGCTTCGTCATTTTCCTCACCCTCCTCAGTCTTCTCTTCAGCCTACAAATCGCAACCAGAAATACTCAAACAATCGCTAACACATGTATTAGGCTGGTTGGCTAAGCGTTTGTGGTTTTCATAGGAAAATTCCGATTTCAAAATGTTTTTACTTCTCAATATTATATGAATGATATCAAATTATAATCTCATTCCCAACAATAACAACGTTCATAAAAATGATCAGTCAAAAAAGTTTCACCCTAATATCGGCCAGCAACTGTTTTGCTTTCCTATAAGCCGTCTGTTGAACATCCTCAAATTGGTCGTCGTCATCGATTTCTTCAATCCCTGAATACGGGCCTAGTCCAGGCCTTACGGGCGGCCGCCCCTCATCTGCCGAAATATCTTCATCTGATGAGATTTCCTCGTTTCGTTTCGATCTCTTTTGGCCTTTGCCCGCTGACATTTTTTGTGCGGCATTCTGCTTTCGTTTCAACTGAAAACGTGTTTTTCAAAATGTTTTTTACTTCCCAATATTATGTGAATGATATCAAATTATAATCATTCTCCTCAAATGAGTTTCATCTATATCATAGAGTTATCTTTAATTCACAAAACTGGCTATGGATCTCAATTTGTTTACCACGCAATGATTTGCTTATCTCTGAATTTATCAATTTGTTTGAATCACTCAACGTTAACAAGTATAATCTCAACTGTCAAAAGGGATAGATATGTTTGGCATTTTATGAGCGATATCCCAAATGAGCTCAACAAGGATAGATTGATATCTTCAGCTGGATATCCTCGAATCTCACACTGACTCTAATTTCTTGACAATGTTTTGCCTGACAAACCAATCCCACGAAACCAAGTTCTGAAACTCTCCCCATTCACAACATCAACCATTCCCTAAACAAACCTCCTTGCTAGCCGCATAATCGCCTTTACGTCCGCCATCTCTAACGAATAAAGATGGCATTTTCGATGCCACCAAATCCTGGAATTCATTTCATCATATCATTCATCGCCCAACAACCAACAACCTTGCCTCTCCTCTCTCATCCTTTGTCGAATCACTTCATTTCTATCAATGAATAAAAAACAAAATTTTTCATTTCAGACCTCACCACCACCTCATAACAATTCCAGATGCATTATATCTATTTGTTCATAACTCTCACAAATCCTTCACTTCTCCCAACTTCGTGATAAATTCTTGTGTAAATATTTCGACGTTGAAAGGCAACAGAATGTGGATTCCACAACACAAAATAAAACACAAACGCACAAAGGATTGTGTTAATGATGAGTTTTATTAGCTTGTTATTCGTTGTTCATTCATCAGATAATAACGAG